AATATGTTCAATAATTCTGCACATCACAACTCCTCCTTGCTGCTGGTGGACGGTTTTGCATCTGTACAGCTCCCCTGGTCTTGCTCGCATTGCCCGGTCGGGGCGAGCATACTGCGAACCTTTTCGAACACCAATTTTACAACAACAAAAAAAAAAAAAAAAAAAAAAAAAGCAAGTGTTTTAGCTCCAACCGCCGAACGCAACAAAATATTTTAAACGTGTTTTGGTTTCTTGGTCACGCACTTTGGCGTCTTCCTTGATGAGGTCGGCGGCCTTCTCGGCCACCATGATGGTGGGCGCGTTGGTGTTGCCGCTGGGGAGGGTGGGCATGACGGACGCGTCCACGACGCGGAGCCCGCGCACGCCGCGCACGCGCAGGCGCTCGTCCACCACGGCCAGCGGGTCGTCCCGCCGGCCCATTCGGCACGTGCCCACCGGGTGGTAGATGGTCATGGTGTACTGGCGCGCCTGCGGGAAGAAGAGACTCGCGTTGTACCCAAGCGCGTCGAGCCAGAGTGCCACCCGACGTGATCGTCATCTGCGGACGTCTCTTACTTGGCAGTCGAGGTGCTCGTCGGAGAGCAGCTCCAGGTGGTCGCAGGCCGGGAACTTGTTGGGATTGGGTCGCGCGTTCATCGCCTTCATGGTCTTGGTCTGCATCAGCCTCTCGCAGACTTTGGCCCCTTCCACCTGTAAAGGACAAGACTTTCACCATCTATTCATACGCGGAGCGGGGATGTGGAGTTTTTCCGATGTCGCACCAAGACGCCGACGTCGTCCGGATGGCTGAGGTACATGGGGTCGATGGTGGGCGGCGTGTCCATGGTGGGCGCCGTGATGGTGAGGCTGCCGCGGGCCTTGGGCCGCAGAACGATCGGCAAGCAGGTGACGGCGTCCCTCAGCAGGACGGGGCCATACGCCGCGTCGTACACGGACGGCTCCAGGCCCAGGTTGGCGGCGTTTACCAGGCCGCAGTCGCCGGCGTCCGAGATGCTGGCCATGAAGATCTGCACGTCGGGGTGGTCGTCGGACGCATTGGCATACTTCGTGCTCACGAAGCCGAGCACCTCACCCATGGACAGGCCGTACATTGGGCCGCCCTGGCCTCGGATGAAGTCGACCAGCCCTTGGAAGGAGGCGCTGCGCGTGACCATGGTGGTCTTGTGCGCCGCGCCGTCCAGGAGCCAGATGAGCCCCGCCATGCCGACGTGGTCCTGGAGGTTGGCGCCCACGCCGGGCAGGTCCAGCGCGGGCGGCACCCCGGCGCGGCGCAGCGCGTCGCTCGGCCCCAGCCCGGACACCATGAGCAGCTGCGGCGACTGCACCGCGCCGGCCGCCAGGATCACCTCCCGGCCGGCCAGCACCTCGCGCTCCGCGCCGCCCTTGCGGAAGCGCAGGCCCACGGCGCGCAGGTCCTCCGCCGGCCCCGTGAGCAGCACCTTGAGCGCGGTGGAGCGCAGGCTGATGTGCAGGTTGGGGCGCGCCGCGGCCGGCCGCAGGAAGGCCTTGGCGGTGGAGCAGCGCAGCCCGTCCCTGAGCGTGCCGTGCGGCCGCGTCAGCCCCGTCTGCACCGCGCCGTTCTGGTCCACGAGCACCGGGAGACTGGCGGGGGCGAGCAGACGAGGGTAAGAGAAGTCCTGGGGCGGGTACGGTGCCCCTGTGTCACATCTCTCTCCTACTCACCCCAGGTCCTTGCCGGCCTCCAGAAAGTCCTCCGCGATCCCGGCGTAGAACTTGTAGGGCTCGACGGTGAGGGGCCCGCCCAGGCCGTGGAAGGGCGAGTCCTTCAGCGCGGGGTCCCTCATGTCCTCGCTCTTCTTGAAGTAGGGCAGCACGTCGTCGTACCTGTGCGTGTGCCGATCGGGCTGTCATGAGTCTGTGAGTATGTTGAAACCGCCGAAACGGCAATTTTCTTTTTGCGTAATTTGGTGTGTCCTGTCGGGCACTCTGATCGCTACACGAGAGGCAGCAGCGGCTGCGCTGACGCGGCAACGGAACTTTCGAGCGTTCTTGAACTCCAACTGTTTCTTCAACTGCGCTATTTGCAACTCACCCCCATCCCTTGAGGCCGAACTCGTCCCTCCAGTGGTCATAGTCCCTGCGGTTGCCTCTGTAGTAGAGCATGGCGTTGATGGAGCTGGACCCGCCCAGTCCCTGTGCGAACAATGGAAACAGTAGATTACATGACAGGTCCCACGAAAATAAGAAGTCACTGAGTGCGATCGTGGTCAAGGTCATTGCCAAGGTGCTTTAAGTTTCCTCCAGGGAACCTGGAGAGGAAATGATGGCCACACTATTGCATGAATTGCACCTTGTTGGCACCGGTTCCGGTGGTCATACAGCGGGACGCCGAGTGCGTCATCGTCCGGTCGTCAATCAATAAAATTTATTTCGTTTCGTTCGTTTACATCCTCGGGGGCATTCCACGAGGCATAAACCTCTTCGCACCATCTTCACAATCATTATACTCTATAACTTTAAAAGAAAGAAAAAATGCGAACAAAACACGTCTACTGTACAATTTTTTTCACTTTCGACTAATTTTTAAGTGATGATTCTCAAGTGGTGGAAGCCTGCTCTAGTACCTTCCCACGCGGCCAGGAAGACATGTTGCCCCTCAGCGACTGGCAGGCGTGCTCCTGGGGCACGGTCTTGAAGGCCCAGTCGTGCGGCCCGTTGGGTAGCACCGGGTACGCGGCGACCACGTCGTGGAGGGGGTCCTCGTCCACGCCGGCCTCCAGGAGCAGCACGGACACGGACGGGTCCTCCGACAGCCTGGCAGAGGAAAAGTGTGTGTGAGCTCCGGGCCGCGGCTCCCCGACGCTGCTAGGGCGGCGGCGGCAACTGGCGCTCACTCAGCGGCTCACCTGTTGGCGAGCACGCTGCCCGCCGAGCCGGCGCCGACGATAATGTAGTCGTAGCGGTGCAGCAGCGGCACGCCGCGCTCCTGGACGTCCTGCACGGGCGACCTGGCCATGTCGGGCCGCCAGATGGGGATGACGACCCAGCGCGTGAGCGCCAGGAAGCACACGATGAAGAGCCGCAGCAGCAGCGAGTACAGCGAGGCCATGGCTGCGGGCAGAGCAGAAACGAGGGTGGTGTGTGGTGGTGAGCAGAGCAGAGCAGGGGGCCGGCGAGCGCCCTGAAGTAGGCAACCCGCGGCCGGACGCGCGCAGCGGTGCGTTCCGGTTGCCTACCCCGACTTCCACAGGCGTTCACTCATGGGGTCGGGCGGGGTGAGGGGGATGGGATGGGAATAACGGCCCCGCCTACGACGGCCCCCTCGGTCATCCCGCAGATGCGAGCAGCCACCCTCGCGCTGCTTGTGCCCTCAAACTCGCGCGCGGGCGTGACTTATTGCGATCCTTGTCGCGTGTCCTTCGCGACGCGAGTTCGTGGGGATGCTCGCGATCCGCTGCCGCTCGGCGAGGGCGTGGCTTGGCGGGGCGGGGCGGGGCGGGGCAGAGCGCGGCGGGACGAG